AAATTTATTTATTTTTTTGATTGAAAATGTGATTTCAATTTTATGCCCCAAAATATAATCTTGACTTGAAAGAAATTCTGCATAGAATGTGATTTCAAATCAATAATTGAAAATTTAAACAAAGCCATCTGTTTTGTAGGGCCAAATCAGAGGTGTTTGAAATTTGTATTCAAGAGTCACTATCAAGAGTGATTGTCAAAATTTTGAATTATAAGCCAAGATCACCCAGGGCATTCGATCGATTTCCGTGAATTTCTGAAAATGAAAGTTTCAATCAAAAGTGAACAAGTAAGGGAAGAAATCATACTCACAGTGGATGATGACTCCTTTTCTTTTTTCTTCTTCTTTTTTTTTAGTCACATAGACACGCAGATGTACTTGTGAAGTTTTGACACATAAGGGTAAGGTGTACTATAGGCTTAAGGCTCCCATCTCAACGAAATAGTAAGCCTTTTCCCAATATCGCGAACTGCGGGTGGGTCGGACTTATTTCTTTCGAGGAAATGAGCGGGATCAAGAATGATCGTCCCATTGGCGCAAACTGCGTATGGTCCAATCAATCCTCAACACCTCCTAGGGGTTTCCTAAGGATGCGGTTGGGGTTTAACCGCGGGTTGTGTGTGTAAAGAGAGTAGTGCTAAAACATGTATAAAGGCGTGCACATCATTTTATATCAAGACAGCACTTCTATCTCATTTACATACAAATACATTCCTTACACCAACCTGCAAAACAAATGAGTTAACAAAGACTTCACCCCTTATAACTCCCCACCTGCAACAACATTTAACACAAAGTTAGTGTACTTACCTCAATCTTCACGATGCACCGCCATAAAAACACGTTAGTTAACAAACAATCAAGTTTATTAGGCCTAAGTCCTCACGGTCCCCAGTGGAGTCGCCAAGCTGTCACGACCTAATCTTCGAAGGCCTCCTCGGGAGAAATAGGTTTAGAGGTACTTTATTGGACTCTCCCTAAGTCCATACCTCGCGTGACATTGGTTGTTTAAATCTATTTGTTCAATAGGAGTCGCCACTAGCCACGATTAAAGGTCGGCTAGAAACCCTAATCGAGATACGGGAGTGTTATCTCGAAAACACACGCAACCAGAGATTCTTAGGGATCGGGGACTTGATTACACTAGTTTTTCAACTAATGCCATTTCGGTACCTAAACTCGACTATTTGCTAACCAAAATATCACGGCAGTCTTTACTAATCGAGAATTTTGAATTTTCATCTTAACCATTCTAAAAGGGGAAAACAACAATCAATGAATTTAAAGTACACAATCAAATGAAATCAAAACGAAAGTGCACAAACAGCGGCCTAGCATCGTCTCTAAAAAAAACAATAAAGAATCCCTAAGGTAAAGCCCTAAAGGCTTATGCAATTTTGGGTACAAATTTTATTCAAACCTAAAGTGTTTATTAAAAGCCCTAAACTAAGTGAATTCTAATTTTTTTTTAGCTTTTCTCACACATTTTTTATTTTTATTTTTTAATTTTCTGATTTTTTATTATTTTTATTTTTATTTTTATTTTTTATTGGGAAATGGATTTCATACCGGGTTTAAGAACCCGGTTTGATTCATTAGTCCGACCTGAACCCTGATGGTCCGGGCTTGGTCAATTCGGGCAAGTTCTTGGGCCCAATAGGAATAAGGCTCAAACTATCAAATTTCAGTTTTTATCAACCTAGGCCCAATTCCAATTCAGCCCATTCAATTGACTTGACAGACGGCCCTTTACACTTTTGCTCCGCCTAAATCAGAACGTGACTCGGTCTCCATTATAATCAACTCTTTTTACTTCTTTTTTATTTCTAATTTTTTTATTTCTTTTTTTTATTTTTCTATTTTTTTTATTTCCTTTTGGCCTTCCCCTCTGCATCGTCTTCTCCATCGATGTCTTCTTCACCGAAAGCTCACTTCCCTCACGCCTTCACTGAGAACAATTATTCCGGTTAACTCCATAACACCGTCGGCCTCAAACTTCAATCGTCAACGTCAATAACCACGGCCAACCAATAACCACCGGCCACTAGTTGGCCGACGGTTTCTACATCGTCGGACTAACTCCGGCGAGAAATTCTCAAACTCAAAAATCACGTAAACTGAGACTCAATCGCACGTAGGAGATATATATGCAAATCAAATCGTGAGAGATGGACTAACTGAAGCGGCCTCTAACCGCAGGCATCGCTCCGGCAACAGTGGAATGAATCTCCGTCGAAGGTTCCATCAATGGCCGACTCGGAAAAATGATGAATATGCCACAAAATGAAGGAAAAACACAGATTCAGTATTGATTCATCAAACTAGGACCTAATCAAGCACAAAGGACGAGTTCCATGCGTTGATTCCACAAAAATCAATTCGGTTCTTCTTTCAAGCATTTTGTCGAACATATGATATGCAACTTCAGAAACGATTTTCCGACTTAATTTTCGAACGATTTTCAGCGTAAACACAATATATAAAGTTCTGAATCACCAATATATTCCACAAATCCGCTTCAGTTTCACATGATTTTGACCAGAAATCATTCATTCAATTCGGCGTTCTATGCCTCAGTGTAACAGAGAAACAAATCATTGTAAGCAGAAGGTTTACCTGGTTCGTGGACAACGCCTTCACGGTAGTCTACGAACGGGACCGCAACAGAACTTGGCGTCTTCCGGCACGGCGAAGAAACGACGAACAAGAATGCCTCGTACGTCCGAAGCGACGAACAACTTGGAGGTTACGGATTCCGAATCCAAGGAAGGGAAGAGATGGATCACAAGGTAGGGTAGCAGCTGCAAGAGTTCTCCGACGATGGTGAACAAACGATGGAAGAAGGGGAAGAGATTTGCCGGAATTCTTCTACGCGAGTAGAAGAACCGAACGCTCTCTTCTCCAAGACCCTTCTTCCCCGACGATTTTTTACCCTTCTCTTCCTCCCTTCAGTCGAGTGAGTATATATCTTCCCGCGCCTCCACCGTGCATTCCGTTTTTCTGATAACGACTTCTACAGCTCAGCAAGCATCTAGAACCTTACCTGGATATGCTTCCGTCACATGTTTGTTTCGTCACCGCCATTCTCAATCACAGATGCACCCTCTGTTCGTCACCATCTTCTGCTCACAAGTGTGAGCAAGCAAAAGGGATCACAGGCGTGAGATTGGGGGTAAAAAGAAATGGGCTCAAAGGAAATAAACTGGGCTTAAAGACAAAAATAAAGAAAAGAGAAGAGGGGGTCGAATTCGGCCCAAACGAGGAAAGAAAGATAAGCCAAACGCGCAGTGGGCCGAATGCTCATATTAGGCCCAATCGGTCTTGGTAGGTCAAGAGTTTTTTTTTTTTTCAAGGTGTCAACAAGGTACTATTGCTAGTTTTTTCCGTGCAAAAAAGAAAGAAAAGGAGAGACCTTTTGAGGCAAATGCTCTGGAGCGAGGAAGAAGATGATGGATCTTCACTTCTCTGACAAGACGCGAAAGATTAATGAAAATGCCGCAACAGAAACCATCAAAAGTAGCTTCCCTCTGCACAAAACATAGCTCGGATGCTCCTAGTTCCACCGAGATGGTGTGCTGCCGCTATTTCTCTCTCTACCTAGTTCAAATCCGAGTCGAATGCTTCTGCCATTGAAAAATGGTCCCCTAATCTGCGAACGATCAAACCACGACTTGAGCCAGAAAATCCCCTGATCACCGACAAGACGCTAGACCGAAGACACCCATAAAGTTTGGTTTTGTCGAGTAAAGCTACGATCATGCTTGAGCGAGCAAGAGAGATGTGCCGCTGTGCTACATTTGATTTGCAGAGGACGTTTGATTTCTGGCTTCGTGGAGGAAAATGGAAACCGAAGCTGAGGCCAAAAGCCGAGTAGAGACGAGGACGAGGCTGTGTGACTTCTGGGAAATGACTAGGGTTTTTTTTAAGTCACGGGTAAAGCCCGACCTGGATCGACCCGGCCCGAAACAGGGAAAATACCCAAGTTTTTGAGCTCTTACCTGGACCAGAGTAGACCCAAACAGAAAAGGCCCAATTTTTCGGGCCGGGTCGGGTCGTTACGGGCCGGGCCAGGCTTTTATGACAGCCCTAGCGAAGATGCCCCTCTGGGAGCGGAGCTGGAGCTGGAGCTGGAGCAGCAGCAGCAGGATCTTTCGAGAAGAGGAAGAGATAGTTGGCCCCCGAGTGTGGACATTGTTTGACGTCGCCATCCCTCTTTTCTCCATTGAAAAGGCGACTCGGGCTTGTCAGTTGTCACCGTTCTCCGCAGCTTTACTAAGTTCTGTAGCGCAGAGTGTTTGAACTTTCAGGAGGGCCCTTGGCGGCATCGAAAGCACAAGAGGCTGAAGGGCCAGCAAAACCAATAAAAAAAGAAAAGAAATAAGGAAAAGAAAGAGGGCGGGGTCTCGAAAGAATACTTAAAGGAATAATTACAATATACAATATGGTTCTTAAATTTTTAATTTGTTCAATATGATTCTTGAACTTTAGCCCGACGTGCGAATTTTTAATTTGTTCAATGTAGTTCTTGAAATTTTGGTAAACTATATCTTTGGATTAAATATTTAGGGACTAAATTAAATATATATAGAAGATTCAGAGATCATGTCGGATAAATTAAAAATTTAGGAACGACATTACATACCGAATTAAAATTTAAAAATCATATTAAATAAATTAAAAGTTCAGAGATAACGCACATTAGGGCAAAGTTAGGCACACCATAATGTCTGATTGCGTACCGCCGACAGGTATCATCGGCAGCGGCGACCAAACACTTAGGCGTTCGTGTGTATAGTTTCGGAGAAGCCCAGGTGACAAAGAAAGAGAGGCGTCCTCAGCGACGCCCACGAGAGGCCCACGTGTCCTCCCCTGTAGAGATCTTCCTCCCCACTCCCCATTGTCATCTCCGCCCTAACAAAAATTCGCAAAAAAAAAAAAAAAAAAAAAAAGAGAAACAAGAAAACTGAAAAAATAAAATAAAATAATATATTTTTCAGAACAAAACAATCTTACCATATCTCCCCGTCGCCCACGGCCCTTCCCACATTCTCGCGGCCTCCCTCGCCCTCTCTCTCTCTCTAGCAGCAATGGCAGCTTCTCTCTCCGTCTCCAGACTCCTCACCTCCGCCGCCACAACCGCCGCCGCCGCCGCCTTCCCCCTCCTCCCCCCAAAATCCCTCTCCTTCACCGCCTCCCTCGGCATCCGCCGCCGCTCCTCCTCCCTCGCCGTCCCCCGCCGCCGCGGCCCCGGCAAGCCCCTCCGCCTCTCCACCGCCGCCGCCGCCCCCACCCGCGCGGCCATCTCCGTGGGCGACAAGCTCCCGGACGCCACCCTCTCCTACTTCGACCCCTCCGGCGAGCTCCAGACCACCACCGTCTCCGCCCTCACCGCCGGGAAGAAGTCGATCCTCTTCGCCGTCCCGGGGGCCTTCACCCCGACCTGCTCGCAGAAGCACCTGCCGGGGTTCGTGGAGAAGGCCGGGGAGCTGAAGGCCAAGGGCGTGGGCAACATCGCCTGCATCTCCGTGAACGACGCCTTCGTGATGCGGGCGTGGAAGGAGAACCTGGGCATCGGCGACGACGTCATGCTGCTGTCGGACGGGAACGGGGACTTCACGAGGGCGATCGGGTGCGAGCTCGACCTGAGCGACCAGCCGGTGGGGCTCGGGGTGCGGTCGCGGCGGTACGCGCTGCTCGCGGAGGACGGCGTCGTGAAGGTGCTCAACCTGGAGGAAGGCGGGGCCTTCACCTTCAGTGGTGCCGAGGATATGCTCAAAGTCCTGTAGATGCTTTCAAGTTTCCATTTTTTTCTTTTCTTTTTGGGGCTTTGAATTTGGCTGTCGTTGGCTGGTGTTGAGAGGTGCGGTTCTTGTTGGGTTTTGAGCTTGATAAGAGTTTTCGTTCCTGACTTGTGCCTAATAAATTGAGATGGAGTTGGAACTGCGGTTTGATGCAGACACAATGAACAGGGATTTTGCTTCTGGGATTCCAAGATGTTGCCTTTCTTTTGTATTGATTTCGTGAGGATGATGATGTTGTTCCTGAGTCCAGCAGTATACGAGTCGACGCTTTCTTTTTTTTTTCGTTTGGGGGGTGTTCTGGTGCTGGGAATCGCATTCGAATTGCGATTCACGGTCGCAGAGAGACTGCTGCGTCGTTGGACGGACGGACCCTGGAAACGTTTCTCCGCGGTACGAATCGAAAGTTTTAATCTCTTCCGAAGGCAGGAGCGGATGCCGTTTGTGCCTTGAACTCAGGCGTCTGGTTCGACCGCCTGTCTTGTTGTTTCGGTGAGGGGTGAAATTAGCTGGGAACAGAAACTAGTTGGTGATTCAAGGTTTGGTTTCAGGTGAAATGTATTAAGGACCCACATGAATAGGTAGGTTGGGTGGTGGTTGAATCGGTTGTTCGATGGGCTCGTTTCTGTCCGTGCAGCAGCAGTGAAAGAAACAAGGTTAGTTTGAATGGTGGAAGGTCTAGAGTCCTCCGTATCCCTCGGATTTCCTGCCGTCGCCGTTCTGAAAATGCCCTACCGTGTGTGATCGTCTGTTCTGTGTGATCCTCCACGGTTTCATGTTTGTGTCTGTCGATTATTTGGGTATCTACCATCTTCCGGTTTCGGCTTCTCTGCACCCATAACCAGCGCAATGCAGTTTCACATGCGCTCCAGAAGGACCAGCAGTTTTGGCAGTCCTCTTTTTCAATGGGCCGTCCGTGTGATTATCGATCAGCGATACACCATGGAACGACATCAACCAGCTCGATTATAATGGAGTGACTAGTGAAGTGAGTAGCCAATTTTCGTGGCGAATGCGTAAGGGTATTCTGTTCGGCCTTTTGTGCGAAAAATTCGCTGAGAGCATGGCGACACTCCATGTACGAGCTCTCGGGTTGCTCTACCAGAGAGTTGAAGTCCTCCTGGGACAACCCTCTGGGCACGTTAAGTTCCTTTTTTACTGAAGCAATCATAATCTTCAACGAAGATGTTCACACGTTCAGTGCTCTAGAGAACCGGACACAAATCAAGAACATCGGTCATCTATCAATCCTTTCACTATGGGATCTCAATTTACTTAAAACATCAAAAGAAAGCAAGTTGATTTGTGTTGGAAATTCCAGCTGTCCTTATTAAGCAAAGAATCATACATAGAAGAAAACAGTTAAGCATTTACTGAATTTTAATCCAGTAATGGACTCAATTACTCAACAGTTCAATACCCAGGTCCTATTGCGATCCGATCTCCAAACCTGAATCTAGGCCTTTTGGGCACTTTGTTGGCCGCCTTAACCTCGAGCGCATCTCCGAGTTTCTCGGTGATGATTAATTCGTTCACCCTCACAAATTCTAAAAGCCCGATGAAGGTTGGTTTTGTTAGGTTGAATGACATGACATCATCGAACAGAATTCAGAAAACCATTAAATGGAGTGACCTGCTAGAAAACAACAATATGGACCATGAGACAGGCAGGGAACCAACTGAAGCCGACCTTCGGTCGCTCTTGAATTCCTCTAGGATTCTTTAGGGGATCCAATTTACTTCGACGAAGCTTGTGAGTTTATGCTGGAAAGTTCAGCCGTCCTTATAAATATAATACGTAGAAGGAAAATAAACTACACATTTACAGAATTAGATCCACCATGATTCGCGGATTTATCCAAAGACACATGTTGAGGCAGATAACTTGATGCATTTCAAACTTGAGGCCAATCTGTGTTGACGTAAATAGTCTGACCTGCTTTATTGACTACATCTTTGCAACCAAAGAGAGTTTTTCATCATTACCCGCATTCCTGTTGCTCATTTCCGAGCAAATTATCTGGGATTCTTGTAACCTCCCCTCTTGTTTGAGGCCAGCAATGAGCTCATGGCATGCAGAGTCATTCAACGAGAAACCATTCTCCATCATTTCTCTATACCAACCATATGCCCCAGCAAAATCTTTTTGATCACAATATCCCTTTACCAGTATGTGGTAAGTATCTGCTTTAGGAGACAAGTTACTGGCCTTCATGCAATTAACAAGATCATTCACTGAAGACAAAGTTCCTTCTTTGAACCGCCCCCTAATCAAGTTATTGAAAGTCATTTTGTCAGGCTGAAGTCCCCGGTCTACCATATCATGGTACACAGCAAATGCCCTCTGAATGTCTCCATGCTCGACATAACATCGAATGACTTCGTTACATACCAGTCGATCGGGAGCCAAATTCATCTCCGACATTTCCTCAAGTAGTCTATCCACAACAGCTGTTCCTTCTTTGCCGCATCCACTAATTAACGGATGGTATGTTTTTAAAGTGGCCCTGATACCCAAAGCTTTCATTTTCTCATATAACTCGAGACACTTTTGGGAATTCCCTACACCAGAATATCCTGAGATTAGAGAGTTGTATGTGATAACATCAGGAGCATGGCCATTACTCATCATCCGGGGAATCAAGTTCTCCGCTTCCATTGGCTTCCCATTTTTGCATAACCCATTAATCAAAGCATTATATGTAACAACTGTTGGAGCAATTTCGCTTTTCAGCATCTCTTCAAAGAAAGTGAAGGCAGTCGTCATCTTTCCAGCTGCACAGCTGCTGTCAATTAGCATATTGAATATATGCGCATTTGGCAATATTCCTCGAGCTACCATATCCCCAAGGACACATTCAGCCTCAATGAGCTTACCATCGCTGCATAGACAATGTATTAGAGACCCATAGCTCACAACATTTGGTTTTAAACCGTTGTTTTCCATTTGTTCTAGAACCTGAAAGCACCTATCGAAATGGCGCATGCGTCCATAGCCATCAATCAAAATGTTGAATGTCTCCACATTTGCTGAAACTCCTTTCTCCGACATCTTCTTGACCCAATACTCCGCCCTCTCCATCTTCTTCATGTTGCAGAACTTGCTGATCAAGCAATTGAAGCTAACAGAATTTGGCTTCACCCCAGCAACTTCCATTTGTTCGATCATTGAAATGGCTCCATCCAGATCGTTTCTCTGACAATATCCGCTCACAAGTGTGTTATATACAGCCACGTCTGGATCACGTCCATCCGCAATCAACTTATCCAAAATCTCCACAGCCTTCTCCACCTTCCCTTCTTTGCACAAAGCATTCATCAAGATGCAACACGTGTACATATTCATTTTAACTCCTTTCCCCATTACTTCTTCACAAAGATCCACTGACGCATCCACATTGCCAGACCTAAGATGCCCATCGAAAAGAATGCTGTATGTGAAAGCATCGGCCGCGAGGCCACGAGCTTCCATCTCATCCACCACTCTCTTTGCCTCCTCCATCCTCTGTGCTCGGCACAAGCCATAAAGCAACGAATTGAATGTGATGAGATTCGGCTGCACATTCTCCCTCTCCATCCTCTCCCTCAGGTCAAACGCCTTGTCCATCTCCCCCATCTTACAATACCCATCAATCAACGAGTTACAAGTGACCACAGTGGCAGCCACATCTTTCTTAGACATTTCGTCAAACAACTTCTCTGCATCCCTCACCCTCTTCTCTTTGCAAAGCCCACTGATCATCAGATTGTAGATAAATGCATTCGGGTTGATCCCTCTCCTCTTCATATCATCCATCAACTCGAAACCCCTCCTCAAGTCCCCCAATTTCGCCGCGGCCTGAACGGCTTTCGCGAACGTAAACCGGTCCGGCCTCACGTCAGACCCGAGTATCTCCCCGAAGAAACCAAGCGCCTCATCGAACCGCTTGCTCGTCACCAAAGCCTCGAGCAGAAGGTTGAAAGAGCCGAGACTAGGAAACACGCCGTCCCCTTTCATCAGCGCATACACCTCGGAAGCTTCGCGGGTCATCTTGGAATCGGCATAGACCGACAGGAGCATGTCGGAGAAGCTGCCCTTGAGGAGCGGGCAGGAGAGGGAGAAGAGGGCGAACACGTCCGAAGGCGAAGAGGAGAGCCTCTCGGAGGAGAGGACGAGGGACTTGATCTGCCGCCGAGCCGTCTCGGTGCGGCCCTGCTGCAGGAGCACCCGGATTCTGCGGACGTGCTCGTGGCGCTCCCGGGAGGAAGCGAGGAGGAGGAGGGAGGAGTGGTCCGGGGCTCCGGCCGGCGGAGCGCGGCGGAGGAGCTTCGGAAGAGAGCGGAGGCGCGGCGCCATTATGGGTGTGTTTCGTCGGACGGACATGGCTGGTTCTTTCTTAGCGGAAGCCGATCGGGAGAGGGAGGGAGGCCCAGTGGGCCTTTGGCGACGGAGGCTTGGTTATGCAAAGTGGAAATATAGAGGGAAGAAGTATTATTGTATTGATCACAAATCTATCTTTTGGCGATGGTGGAAGCCGACGCATTTTGGTTTTAGCTTTCCCAAAAGGCTTTCGAAGGGAAATTTTTGAGTGTTTGGCAAACGATCTCTTTGGTCAAATGCTGATCTTGGCAAAACCGATAGCGCGGGTCTCTACTTGCACTGAGCTTTCAGGATTTTCGGAATGCTACTCGAGAGAGCTCATAGAAGTCACTAGTCTCATGAATCAGACAGGATGCGAGCACGATATCCAGGTCGTGCAGTGCTCCTAACAACCCCTTCAATTGCCGTGATGGAATGACAATGTGGGGTTCGTTTATTTGAAGGAAAACCGTTTTTGAAAAATCGTTTTCTGATTTCCGGTGTTGGGATGACGGAAAACTAATAGGTTTACGGAAAATGTTTTCCATGGATTGAAAACAATAAGTTTAAATTGGGAGAAAACGACTTCCCTTTCTAGTAAGAAGAAATTTCCCTAAATCACCAAACAAACGAAAACTAACTGTTTTCCTTGAAAATTATTTTCCTTTATAATAAAGTTTTCAGTGAAACAAATGAACCCGTGATTTAACACATGTTATGTTGTAATGTAACAGAGATATAATAACTATTACCCCGTTTGATTTGAGTACTTAACACTTATTCCATTGTTTGGTTTCATCGATAACATTTGTAATATGCGGGAATAGCATAAGCCTTTCTTAAATACTCCCAAAATAAAATAAAACATACGGGATATAAAGACAATCTTTTAATAGTCAATCAGGAGCTTGGTACAATATATATATATATATTCTGTAGATGGTAATATTGCTACTTTTATTAAGATAATGATCAAAAGTCAAGGATATAACATGTAACATATTACATTATTTACTAAAGTTATCACTTGAATAGCCGGTTATGAATGTACTTCATATATGTTATCAAGGTATAGAAATCTAATATATAAACTTTTATATATTATTTCAAAATTTATTTATGATTATGATATGAAATTAATCATGTGATATGTGATATTATTGGAATAAATTAAAAGTTAGATGTGCACAATCACAAGGGCAAAATTATTGTTAAGTCAGCTTGCTATTTCAACTTAGCGCATGATTTCATAGTAGCATGCAACTTTTAGGCAATTTGGGATTCCTAAGCATTTTTCGCGTTTATTCATATTTATGCGTAATTTTTACCGTCAACGTGCATAAACATATGTAGGAGCAACGGGTTTTGTCGATCGGCCCTCGAGCACCACTCATGTCTTGTCAATAGAACCAACCCGCTCGTTTTCTATGCAGGCAAAGACCAATTTCGGCTACAACTTAATAGCCGAGGTTCAAGGTTGAAGTTTTTGATTATGTGGAGATGTTAACAATTCGGTGGATAAGTTATCGATTTCGTGGGCGTCATTGATTACCTCGTTGTCGATTTACAAGCTTATTGTCGGTTCCGAAGCTAGTAATTAATTACCTAAAAAGCGGAGACTGTTCTGGTCGATTTCTATCCCTATTGGGTGACCTTTTACGATGAACATTCGGCCTTCAAGACTGGTGCACGAATTTAAAGAGCCTTATCAAGTTTCAATGCATCTAATAATTAGTCTCATGCATATAAGTCTCTTAATTTACAGCTTTTTATGAGTTTTTATTGTGGTGTTGCTTTAAAGAGTCATAATTAGGTGAATTCCCCCAAGTGTCTCTTCAGTTTTCGGGTATTCGAAGAGTCTTCTTTTTTGTTTAGCGATATTTCTATAAATTGAGGTGTAATCTCATTGTAAAAGGAGATTTTTCTTTGACTGAGTGAATATCCATCCCCGGTTTCTTAATTCTCGGAAGGTGGGTACTTTCTTGATGGTAAGCCAAGAAACCTTTTATCCATGGCCGGTAGATTTTCTTTTAGGTCTTGGTGGTGAGTTTCTCCTTTCTTGGTTTCTTTATCCTTGGAAAGGTGATTATTTCTTGGTAGTGAGCCAAGAAGCCCTTTGTCCTCGACTGGTGGTTCGTCCTTTAGGTCTTAGTGGTGAGTTTTTTTTTTTATCATGAAGTCCTCTATCCTTGGCGGGTGTTTTGTCCTTTAAGTTTTGATGATGAATTTCGTCAATCTTGGTCTTGATCCTTGGCTGGTGGCGCGTTCGTTAGGCCTTGGGTATGATCGTAATCTATATTGTATTTGCATTCATCCGTCAACATCCATTCCCACACGCTCTGATATATCCGTACTTCTTTTGACATCACTCAAAACATCAATCGCGCTTGCCCCCGCAATCGCAATTTGAATGCAACATTTTGATCACAATGTAGCGATGAGCTCTTTTATACCTAGACGTGGCATTAATTGCTAATCAGCATGTCAAGAGTTCGGTAAAAAAAAGCATTCAATGCATAAATGCTAATTTTTTTAAAATACGGAGTAGGTTTTATTCAAAATCAATTTTCGATAAATTCTATAGTTTTCTAAAATAATTATCCAAAATAATCACTTGCCCGGTGTCTCGGTTCGCGGACCAATGGTCCTCGGGGAGGGGGGGGGGGGGGTCTCCAACGCTATTATCGATCAGATCGATCCCCTCGGCAAATAGATAGGATCATGCTTTATTTAGCAGGGTTCCTAAATAAAATGCGCGCAATTTGTAGCATAATAAATACGTATTTTCATATAGATTTCCGAATTTATTTCAATAGCATAATGGCGCGGTTCCTAAAACGAGATTATATTTTGAGAGAGCTTCGCCTATGGCATACAATTGTGTTAATTCTTTAAGAAGGGAAAGATCAAAACGCTTGCCTCATCGGACGGAGCTTCGACCCCCGCAAGAAATCCACTAGAAATCAAGAAGAATTTCAACTGAGAGACATTTTCTATTTTAAAGAGCCAAAATCACTAGAGGAAAAGCTTATATCACGCTTACCTTCAAAGAAAAAAAAAATTTTGCAAACCCAGAATCCTTTTCTATTTTTAGGGCACTTCTAAAACTCAAGAAGAACCTTGCGCCAGGCTTGAATACCCTAGCCCCAAGCCCGCCCTACGCACGCCATTCGCGTGGCGATGACGCGATACTAGGCCGACTCGAAATCTGCCGCGTGGGGATCGCGGGTTGGTCCGCCTCGAAAGCTACTAATTCTTTAAGGGATAAGTGCACTAGAACGCGAAAGTGCAATTGAGTCGTAGGACATTTAAAAAATGAAATGAAATACTAAAAAACTTGTTAACATAGTGTAATCAAGTCCTTCCATTAATTTTGTCAATTTGTCTGACTAAAAATAGGCATTTTCTTATTATTTTCTCTCTCCCATGTTGCATTTTGTATAATCTTCTTCCCCAAGTATTTCTTAAATTTGATTAAAAAAATGAAAAAAAGGGATAATTTTTAAAAAACCCAATCTGAAAATATAAGGAGACGCAAGCCCTCGTAGGTGGCCCATCATCGGAAAAGGCCGGTGGAGGTCACTGGGGCTTGGCCGATGGCTGGTGAGGCCTCACCCTGGGCAGTGACGCTCGCCCACCTACGGTGAGGCCTCACGATTATCAAAATTTAGGGGAGGATCTAGGGGAGGGCGGAGGCTCCACCCTCCCGGGCGAGTGCTAGCTAGCCCTCACTAGGGATGGTGAGGGTTGTCGACCATTGGCAAGGCCCTAACGACCTCCACCGGCCCTTTCTTACGATGGGCGGTGGTGGCTATCTATCGTTGAGGGCTTGTGAGGGGTTGCTCGCCTCTTTTTTTTTATCAGTTTGATCTTTTTTAAACTTTTAGCTTTTTTTTTAATCTAATTCAGTATGTGTTTCTTTTTAATTTTTGTATTTTTTTTACGTGGCGCTTGGTGGATACTATATCGGCGCTTCATGTCTTGAGAAAATAATAAAATAAGCCACGTTAGTTTTTTCAATTAGCCAAATTAGATGGAGTTAATAGAATGAGTTAATCGTACCAATTTGACAAATTTTATGATTTGATTATATATTTTAAGAATTTTAGGATTTCTAGTACGCTTATCCCGTTCTTTCAAAACTCAACGTACAATCTATGACTTTACACCCAACTTTCACCGCTCTTTTTCTATCATCTGGCGTTCAATAGAATCGACTATTTCTCCCACGAAAAGCTCGCGATTCAAACTTTCCAGAAATGCAGTTCAATTTGCAAGCAAGTGTCGGGATCGTAGATTTCTATGAAGTGGGCCAAACGAACGATCAAAATGAAAAGTTACAACACTCAAGAAAACTCCAATCAAAGTGATTCATGAGGCCTTGGAAAGCTCATGACCATATCTACGTGATTTCATCGCCCCGACATGTGAAAATCATGAATTTCCCGACCCAATTGAGATCGGATGGTTGCAGTTAAAATTGTAATATCCAACGATCGGATCGTCTGATTTGATCAAACATGGTGTTGTTAGAAAGCTCTTGCAGCGGAACCCAATCGTACCATTACATCACTACTATCTTTGTTTTTAGGGCCTAAGATAAATTGAAGGGTATATAGCATTCCTATTAATTCTACTAAATTTCGATCATTTTCTACTCTTGAAATTCAATTTTGATTCCCTCTTTACTAGCTCATCACAACTAGATATATGGGCCCAATGCGCATTCTCTTCTCTACCTAACAACTTTAGGCTTTTGAGTTGCATTCTTTTATTGCAGCAGCCCCGACGACATCATTAAGCTGTCTAGTTATTTTTCCCTAATTGGATGGGTTAAGGATCCCACGTACCTACACACTTGACGTTACAAACGGCCGTCTTATATGCAATTTGCCACATCCATCCTTCTCGACTTACTCTTGAACAACGACCAACGACCAACGACCAACGACCAACGACCAACGACCAACCTGGTTTCATTATGAGCAGCAGTGGCTTTATTTGTTACAGGATACCAGATGGGAGTGGGGTCAATCCTGTCTGCACATGACAGTAGTACTGATTCATGAAACCATCCGAATCTGTGCAAGTGCAGGTCTTGTTGCCTCTGACCCCGTCCAACCCTCGTGAATCTTTGAAGTCTGTTCAGTGAAATCATTTAGTGTCCTGACAAAGTGCAAGTCCTCCTTAATGTCCCAACTGCACAATCTTACTGCCGACTACACAGAGACAGAGAGAGAGAGAGAGAGATTGCAACTGTGAATTTATCCACTTGATATCAAACTTATTTGCTTCCAAAGAAGCTCAATCACAACGAAATAAGAGAAGTGCAGAACAAAACAAGGAAGAAGAGAAACAAAAGAGGACACAAATATACAAATGCTCCTCACAACAAACAATTTCACTCAAACGCGTGCTTTTTTTTTTTTTTTCTCGTTCCCTCTGGTCGAATTCGCGCAGAAGTCGAACTGGCTAAGCTGCCTTCCCTTTATATCTTCTCTGAGGCCGTGTAATGTTGTCACGGCAAAACAAACTCTCTCTTACAACTCCTTTTCTTTCTTGTAGTTTCTCCTTTCTGTTCTTGTTTCTAACCCTTGTTTCTATTTACAAAGAGGACAGGTAGCCTTCTTGAACTGGAAGAATGACATTTAATATAATGTGTTACCTTTATGGAAAAGCCGTGGGAAATGTGTGTGGCAAACCGCATTTTTCTTTTTTTGTGTTTTGAGGTTCTGATGATAGAATGTGGGGGACAGATTCACGGCTTCTGCAGCCTGATTTGTTCTATGAATTAGGAACGAAGGTGCCGATGTACCCAAATCCCATGATGAAGAAGGCAATGGCTTGCGCGAAAAGGTAAATAAAGTAGTGATTCTTCCCGAAGGCAATGTCGTAGCAGCCGCAAAAGAAGAGGTAGGCTCCAACACCGAGCTCTAGCACATGTAACCTGCCAGAGTACAAAACACGAAATGAGAATGGTGGGCACAAAATGTTGTGTCATCCCTTCATCGGTGCTGTCCAGTGGGTGAGAAGGCGTGTACCTATCTCCAAATCTGAATCTAGGCTTTTTGGGCACTTTGTTAGATGCTTTAACTTTGAGCGCATCCCCCAATTTCTCGGTGACGATCCATTCGTTCACCCTCCCGGCTTCTAATAGGCCGATGAAGGTCGCTTTTGTTCGGTGGAACGACATGACATTCTCGAACAGGATCCAGAAAACCATCAAATGGAGTGACCTGTGAGAAATATAAACCACAGGGACGGTGAGACTGGCATGGAGCCAACTGAACCCGATCTTTGGTGGCTCGACTATGTGAATTCTAAAGAAAAAGCTAAAATTCTTGTTACTTAGAAAAAGATATCACCCCAGTGCTAAAAGACATTGAAGAAGTGTTTATTTGCGTGAGATGTAACAACTGGTCTCAAGAAATAACAAGGAAAGAGAGGTAATACCTAGGAGTACCGACGGCATTAAGAAGAGTAATAATGGAAGGAATATAAACTGCACCCCACTTGGGAACGGTGACTTCGGGCACAAAAACGGTCGCCGGCAACACAACGCAGTAGAACATGAAGGTGACGATGTGCGCTACAATCTTTCTAACCAGAAAAAAGCTGTAAATCACATGCACCTTTTTCCATAGATTGACCTTCTGCAGCAGATATTTCAAGAACGATGTCAGCTAATGAATTACTTCCACAAGCTTTGTCTTATGTCTAATATGACATCCTCATGGTTTTCCACAAGCATAGGGGGAATGAAAAACCTTGCCTTATTTCGGATGATTTCCATGACCATCTTCCTGAAAAGATTCGCGGGACCGCACGACCAACGGTGTTGCTGATAGCGGTATGCCTTGAAGGTGCTAGGCAGCTCATTTTTCACCTGATATAGGAAAGACAGTGAAATTCCATGAAGAAGCTTTCTTAAGGAAAGGAAAAACAACAACACGTGTGACTGAAAGAGCATGTAGGGGACAGATTGTGCACTGAAATTTTCTCGATTTGATTCAGACAGAGAGCATAAATGCGACACAGGACAAGAACACAAGCAATTGTTTTTTTCGGGATCTAATGGCTTGCTTCTATCTCCACCTATTTCCATTCTCAAGTATGTAGGATCACATAAGACCATGATTCTTTTCCTCACAACTTCATACGACTGTGGAACAAAAATATAACGGATCTCTTCAACGAGGGAGACAAAATCAATGCAACAGTGCATTGGAACGGACCAAACCAGCAAATACTAGCGAGCAGTGAGTGTGCGCCCTCTTTCGATTACCTTGAGACTCCCGAGGTACACGAACTTCCAGCCTTTAAGGCTCGCTCTGACTGCCAAGTCCATGTCCTCCACAGTGGTCCGGTCCTTCCAACCTCCCGCCTCGTTCAGAGCAGCAATACGCCATACACCCGCCGTGCCTGTATTGCAACAATCTCAATTCACAACTTCCACAGTAAAATCTAATCCGAAGTCAAGCCGTAACGGAGCCGATATTGAAGTTCTCGATACAGCTCAATCCCATCCGGTCTCACTTTTCGCGCGTGCCCGGATCAAGGCCAAGCCGAATCGAGTCAATTGAAAAGTTACTTTCCTTGATTGTATCATACAGTGAACTTTCTATCTACTCGAATCAAAAGGGTCTCGAGCCTCGACAGAAAAAGCATAGGCAGAACGTGAAAAGGGTCATTCATTACCGTTGAATCCGAAAAAGGCGTAGGTGGAGGACCCGACTTCTTGCTCGACGGTGAAATGGTAATCCAGGGACATCTCTTGCATTCTGGTCATCAAGCACTCGTCCGCATTCACTGCACGCCAGCCCAGCACAAAACCCACCAATCAATTTCACCAGCTCAGCTGCATGTACTATCTCCTAAGGCCAAGCCAACCACTCAACATGACCAGTATCACCATCCTCATCATGGGAACCAATGCTTTTTCCCATTTTTCTCTTCTCACAGATTTAGGAAATTCATTCACCACGAGAAGAAACACAAAAACACTAGAAAATATTTGAATCATGTCACTCCACTTCAAAAGGGTACATTCCAAAATCGTTTATATCCATGGCAAATTCACACAAATCAGTAATTTTGAAACCTTTTTCTCATGGCATGGAAGCACAGGGTAAAGAAGAAAAGGTGGGAAATTCCCCAAAAAAAAAAAAAACCAAAAAGCGGATCCAAAATGTCGGTGAGCGAGAGAGAGAACGAGAGGGGCAAGAGGGAGAGAGGTCCACCATTAAAGGAGGCACATGCAAACTGGCATGGCGCACACCACTCGAGGCACACACGAGACAAGACTGCATAATGCCCCTCCAGCAAGACCCTCTTCTCCTCTTTCGCAATCTTTTTGCAAACGACATTAATGGCAGAGGCAATTGGGTAGCTCCCATCAGTAGACACAATCTAAGCAAAATGCTAAATCTGGAGATTTCGAGGGACACGACAGCCCCTTTTGTTTCTTTTCCTTTCTCTTCTGCCTGCTGAAAAGTAGCAGGGGCAATTCGGAGAAAAGATCCATCGAGAAGGCAACGAAATTGGGGTGGTCCATGCAACACGGATGGACCGCTCCGATCCGGCCGTATTTAAGACAAGCCAACGTCGAATTATTGGGAACACACGATCGCTCTTCACGAGACGAGACATTAGACTTCGAGGGTGGGCGTGCCCCTTTTCGAGTCGAACCGACAGTTTTCGCTGGCTTAAACACTTGGAGAAAAAGATTCTCGAACCATGCAATACACGTTATTCGGTTCATTTGAAATCGACACGACTCAACACTTGAAACATCCTTTGTTTTGGCACGGGCGCTGATGATGCCGATCATTGCCACGGCCAAGAAGACGCCGCGGCGTGAGCCGCCGCTCTCGAACACCCCCAAGTAATTCATAGTAATGTAATTTGGAAAAAAAAATGTGAAAATAAGAAATTTTTGCAAATTCGTTTTTTGATTTGCGACCAAGATAATAAAGCGAAAATTCAATGGCTCGTGGACCTGACCAGAGACCCCCCTTTTCACGGCCATTAAAGGGTAGTTGCACCACATAAAAGCTGCCGACGGAGCTTAACTCGGTGAAATTTCCAGGAAATTGCACGAGCCATATTGAAGTAAAGTTAAAAAGAAAGGGGGCGGAAAACCGCAATTTTTCAAAAGAGGAGGGGTTAATTTGCAATATCAATATTTATAAATAAAAAAAAAAGAAGCTCCCGACGGGACAAATCAATCCTATCAGACCTTTACGATCGAAACAAGCATCATGGGGCTCTCGTTATGAGCTGCGGGCCTAAAATGTCCCCGGACACGTGTCGAAACCGTGACCGATCGAGGAGGATTCTCACCACCCCCCACATACATCTACAGGGTGGCGCTGGCCGACACTTTCCAAATCCTTCGTTAACACCGTCCAATTCGTTAATTCAAATAAGCTTAAATCATAAAAGCCACGGTCGTACCAAACGGGCAACGACGAGCGGGGCGACAGGAGAGGACGTGTTTTTACCGAATTTCCAACGGGCCTGGACGAGGGCGATCTCGGTGTTGTGGACGAGGAAAGGGATGGTCCGCCAGAGGTAGTCGGGCTCGGGCTGGAAGTCGGCGTCGAAGATGGCGACGTAGTCGCACTGCTTCACGTAGCTCCGCTTCATGCCCTCCTTCAGGGCCCCGGCCTTGTACCCGTTCCGGTTGTCCCGGATCTCGTACTTGATGTTGATCCCCTTGCTCGCCCACCTCTGGCACTCCAGCTCCACCAAGTCCTGCCCATCCCGACCACAACGACGGCGACGTTTTTTTTCAAACCGATCAAAGAAGAATATTTATAAAAAAGAAAAAAAAGTGCGAAAGTATACCCTCCAAGTTAATATTTTTCTGTATCTGAACGTATGGTGTTCCTCAGAGCATATTAAAGTTCGTATTTTTTTTAATTGCGTTCTTGATGACTGGAGAGAATGTGAGGATGTATGTGCGGATGTTGGGGGCCTTACCTTGATCGTCGGGTCGGTGGAATCGTCGAGGACTTGGATGATGATGCGGTCGGACGGCCAGGAGAGACCGCATGCGGCTCCGATGGAGAGCTGATAAACCTGCATTGACGCTCGAACAGAGGAGTGTCAATTACCGAGCTTGACGAGACCAGAGGCCAGAACAGAGCGGTTCGAATGTTAACTGGAAAGAGCTAATGAGACGGCCAATTTGCAGAGGGAGACGGAAAGGGACCGACCTCTCTCTCGTTGTACATTGGGATTTGGACCAGGACCATGGGATAGGCCGAGTTGCCCAGCTCGACGTCGTCCTTCATGGGCTCCCACCTGTACCGCTTCTCCGGCTTCCGGCCGAAGAGCTTCACCAGGAGGATGACAACGGCCATGTACACCCTCTCGATGAACAGCATCAGCGACATGGCCAGGCACAGGACCACCGCGATCCTGAGCATCGGGACGAGCAGCGGCGCTTTGATCTGAGCCCAAATCAAGGACAGTTGCATGGAGATGTCGTCTCTTGCTCCTTCGAACGTGTCGGGAAGGAGACTAGTTGCGGAGAGCCGGTCCATTTCGACGGAGACTCGCTTGCTCTGTTTTTCGATCTCGAAACAGAGCAATGGGAGAGAAGAAGAATGTGATGCTAGGGAGTAGAGCTGATGAAAGCAAGTAGATCTCTGTGATCTGGTAATCGAGTTATCTGAAGAAAGCAGAGAATTTGAGAGAGAATATTTGCTTTGCGATATTGCTTCTGGGTCAAGCAAAGCAGAAGGCAAGAAAAAAAGAAATGGGAGGCAGAGCTGGAAATGTCAGTGAACCGTTCGCTCAAAGATCACTCCTCTTGATGCATTGCAGAAGAGACCCACCAAAAAGAACGACACGAAAAATGGAAAAGAGAAGACGAATCAGTAATCGACGAAGACGGACGGACAAACTCTGTCAAGAAAAATGGAAGCGCTTTTCCGCTGCTGCTACCGCCCTCAAACGAAGACGGAAGCAGGAACCAGAAACGGATGAACAAGAGAGGGGGAGAAGAGACAGAATGAGAACGAAACGAAAGCTCTCTCTCTCTCTCTCTCTACTGCGATACAAAACAGAGTGAGGAGGTTTCCTATATATGCGAAACGACGCTCTCAACAACCAGAAGACGGGAACGAGAAGGCACTGAGAGGTGTAAAACCCAGGAAGCTTTTCCGCATTACGAATCTACTTTTTCCCAATTTGCGTGGTTCCTAGAAATGAGTTCTTTTCAAATTTCAATCGTCATCTCAGAAGTGGGTATAATTCAGCCCATTTACTCCCTGCACCTACAACACAAGCCACATTTGGCCACTCGGTAATTACACCGACACACACAGCGTTTGACGGGACGGTCGCTCCGTCTGCCCAGCAGACGCCGGTCCCGCCATCAACTCATCGAACGCTGTCGCACATGTTCTCGACTGTGATGAATCATTTCGGTGCAAAAAGTTGATTGGATTTTGATTATTTTCAGCAGAAGAAAATACCCCTAGACCCGAGAATGTCATTAAATTGCTTCGTCCGAACTCTAAGATAAATACTCTCTAAAAAAGGAAAGAAAAACTTTATTTCCAATTACATAACTACGTTCCAATCTATTTGCTCGCCAGGTGTGTACACCTGAACAGGCGGGGCGCCCCAGTCGAAAACTTAGGGTTTTCCCTGTTATGGTGAGGTATCTCGGTAATCATCTTCATGATGAAAAACGAATACTTGGATTTTGATTGGTGATCTTTCTTTTTCTTCATGAGTGAAATTTGTTTTCAAGATATTCATGTAACTTGCCTGTTCTCTAGTTTCCCTCAATTCGGACAAAAATGATTGGCAGGGTCTTACTTGGACAAACATCTCGTGGAGTACGTGGGTCTACTCCCCTTAGGTTTCATTCCAATTGGCCACCTTGTGCTAGTGTCTCACTACCTTTGTCAAGCGAAGCCGACTCCGGGCAAGGTAAACCCCGATTTCATGATATACTCAACAGTCTCACAGGCTGATTGGCGCCAAGCCAAAAGCCATTAGTCCTAATGATTTGATGAGATCCTGGCCTAAGCCAAGAATGACAAATCCATCTAAATGATTAGGTCTAGCCGCCACTTTAACTTGGGTTAATCACCGCCATCCGTAACCTTATCTTTTAGGATTAATATCGCAAAAAATCTCAAATTATACCCATTGTGACACAATACCCGAACCTTTTTTTTTGCATTACTAAAAAATCCAAACTTGTCCATTGTGACACAAATACCCTAAACTTTTTTTTTATATCTTAAACAACCCCGAACTTATATTAGTGTAACAAATATACCCCGGATGAAACTAAAATAGATGGTATGTATGTCACACATGTAGAAGTTTTGATTTTTTCGTGACACAAAAAAAAGTTTAGAGTATTTATGTCACATTGGGCAAGTTTAAGTTTTTTAGCGACGCAAGAAAAAAAAGCTTGAGATATTTATGTCACAGTGAACATATTTGTGATTTTTTTTTATGGTATATACCCATCTTTTATCACAATCATCAACTGTTGTGGTCCTTGATATCATCATTAATTAGTCCCCGAGCTTTACTAACAATGGCTCACAATATTAGATGTCCTGTAATTCGAACATATAATCAAGTCCTTTTTTTAACATGCCGAGATTTGTACGAGTATATTTTGATGTGTAACTACTCTTATTTTATGATGAGATCGACCAATCGTGTTGCCCTCTTGTTACACATCTCAATTTACTTTTGCATTTGAATGTTTGAAATTCTCATTTTTTATCTATCCATCTTTCCTTGTGGCACTGTCACATGATATGATTGCTGCACAAAAAGTACTCTCTCTTAATTAACCAAGCTACTATTGAAAAGTACAAGAACTATTTTTGTTTCTTGAGTATAAATTATGAAAAACTATACTCTTCATCCGCGTACTTTTACGTTTTCTCTAATGAAGTCCCTCTATTTTTAATTTTTCCAATCAAGTTATTACACTTGCACAAATTATCCAACCAGCTCCCACACTTATCCAGTCAAATCCAATTGACGTGGCCGTTGGCAATGTCCGAAGGTGATATGGAACACATTATGCTACCGTGGAAAATATAAATTAAAAAAAATGAGAGAAAAAGATCATCTTCTTCCACTCATAATCTCTCTTTTTTCAAAATTTACTTGGCTCTTGATCTTGAAAAATATTGCTGATGTCACACGACGGCGTTGCTGGACTGCCTTCAGCTTGATTTAGCCGAATTTGGATTAGGTAATTTGTACGAGCACAACGACTTGATTAGAAAAATTAAAAATATAGAGACTTGATTAGAAGAAGAACGAACATAAATGGACGAAATAATTTAAGGTATATTTTTATCCTAAATATTAAACAAACATTTTCCAAGGTCGTGGCCTCCTAAGATTGCTTTTCCTTAAACCTTCCTCCCCCAACTAATTCGTACAGAGACCTAACTAGGGGAGAGATTATTCTGTGTTGACCCTAAAAGAAGAAAAGAGGGAAAGAGAGAACGTAGTGCTTTTTAAAAGCGATTTCCAATATAAGGACCCTATTATTTATTATTATTAGCATTATTATTATTAATTTGACCATGGCCGATGACATAAGCTTGCACTAAGGAGATTGGCTACTCATACCTTATTATAATCCCATAATTTAAGAGATAAAGAGGGTATTTTCAAGTTCCCACATGATGGAGTTTATCAAATGAACATGATGGTGACTCTGCCTTGGCTTCTTATGGAAGTACAAACATCACCATACAAAGACCAAATAATAGCATTATTTTTTCCAACAACTCTTCAATGAAAACTATGATGAAAATGATGTTTCGACAGTCGGGCCTTTGAATTTATATCTCAAGCTGTGCTGCAAGTTGAGTGTGCTTCTCTAGATTCTTTCGAGTGCACAATGCACATGGTATACATACAATCAAAGCCAGTGTTTCCAATGCGTACGAAGATGGAGAGTGGGAAAACAGCAGGCATGGGCATTTTAAGATTAAATGCAGTACCAGGGAAGAATCTATTGAATTATTTCGACATAGGTCGAGCTTGATGGGCTCTGGCTGCAATGATACCCCTACATGCACTAGGATGCAAATTGATTCTTCGCGAAGAATGTCGGCCTGCGCGAGCGAATCGTGTTTAGAAAAATTTCCAGAGTGAAGATTTGGTAGGGTATATGGTATGGAGTATTAATATGTTCTATTTAGTTCGTGACTCGTTGGCTTGAACTCAAGGCGGATCCAACTATATATATTGATGGGTTTGGACTTGATCTCCTTATTTAGTGATCTCTCCAGATGAAAGTCTTGGGATTATGGGGAAAATTGTCCAAAAATTATTAAATCTATTGCACTTTTTTTTTAATTTAGTTCTAAACTTTTTAATTTTGCCAATTGAGTCCATTTGGTCAATTTTGACCGTGAATCGCTGACGTGGACACTGGCGGTCCTACTTGACGAGACCGGCGCTGTCGTGGTCGATTTTTAATAATATTTTAATATTTTTTGAATTATTTTATTTATTATTTATTTTCTTTTTTCCTATTTTTTTCCTTCCTTCTTCTCTTCTTTGGTTTCCCACTATGGACGACGAGGGTCACCAGGGCTCGTTGGCCACTCGGCAAGGGCCGCGAAGTCCTCGTCGAGCTGCCGGTGAGGATCGTAGCCCTCGCCCGAATTGGCTGGAAGGACTAAATTGGCACAAAAACAAAAAGGCAATAGAGGCCGCGAGCGAGGATAGCCTTTCTGGCCATGGGCGAAGGCGGCCTCTTGATGGTCTGGCAAGGTGCGCGGCCGCGGGCAAGGCTACCTTCACTCGTGGCCGGCGAGCTCTGTTAACCATCGCCAGCCAAGCTCACCGGCCACAGCGGGAAACCAAAGAAGAGAAGAATTAAGAACAAGAAAAGGAAAAAGAAAATTAAAATTTTTAAAAATATTATTAAAAATGTTGATCGGTGTCCATGTTAGCGATTTCTATAAAAAAATTGATTAGGTGGACTTAATTGACACAAAGTAAAAAGGTTTATAACTCAATTAGCAAAATTAAAAGGCTTAGGACTGAATCGGCAGAAGTGCAATAGGTATAGAAAATTTTGGACAATTTTCCCTGCGATTTTGCTACACATCCCAATAGTAAAAAATTGCCATCGCAGGTAGTTGCACCGAAGAAAAAGAAAAATACTTAGAGAAACGTCGTCCTATGGATTACACACCATGGTCTCACAAGAACGTGGATTCTCTAAATTTAAGATGTCAAGTTACAAGTTTGATTGAAGAAACACGAAGAATGAGAGTAAACACGATTTCATAACTTTTAAGTATCTTCAGTTTCTACTATTCATCTTGACGCAATTCACCTCCAACACCATTGATCGGGATGATCAATCGATTTCCGAAACCGATCATCAGAAAAAAATTTCTTGGTCCCAGCCGAATCATTTGCCACTTACTCGAATCCAAAAAGGCCCCTCAAACTTTCAAAAAAAATTTTAATTTTTTTAAAAAAAATAAGGTGGCCTCAAGCCATGCCAAAGAGAAGAAAAAGTTGATGTGAGTGTGGGCTTCTCATGGAGGCATTGGGTTCATGGCAACACAAAAGAGACCCCCAGGACCCCCTTTTGTGCAATGTCGTGTCCCTTTTTTCTTGCATTATTATCGAACCCTTTTTGGGCTGTTGTGCAATGATCCGCATTATATGTAAAATCACATTGTTAAATTAGACATGGTGGGGTTTTATTTATATGCTGCAATACTATCTCATATCTATCTGAATTCACGTGTGCACCAATAAGCAGTAATGTGAACTTTTGTGTACGATCCACATGTGATGATAAGTGTGTTGGGTGACTTTATCATTTATGATGAAAAGTACATACATCCCTAAACGCACCTAATTTGGTTGGCCGTCTTGTCTACTCGGTACTATAACATCAGCTTCCTTAAAAACAAGCAATTGAGTAAATTTATATTCTTGCGACAAGTCAATCGCATGGCAAAAAAAAAAGTAAATGCGCGACAAGTAATTTCACACAAAGTATATGTACCAGCACG